GAAGTTGTCGAATTGTCCGTAATTGGTTCTGTGTCTTCAATTTCCAGGGGGATAAGGTTGTGGATTGATTGGTTGGGTAAAATATGCGGAGTTGATGTTCCATTGGCGTTGTACCATCGAGACGTCAATACGTTGACGGAACGAATTTTGTTATCCCTCGGGCTTTGGTGCACTTTTAAAATCTTGCACATTTTCCATTTGAGACGCGCCATAGGCGTGTCCCCATGAAACGAACTCTGTTTCAATAGAGCAATTTGTCCTTCCTTAGGTTCCAGATAAATTTTTGTTTTCTGTCGGTCAATAGGAAATTTCCGTAAAGTTGAGATGTAGCCGTCATAAAATGATTTCCATAACGTTCTGACAATCGCTATGCGAAACTTTGCTAGCTTAGTCAGTCCCTCTTTTGTAGTATGTTCCACAAACTGGATGGGGTTTGGCCCATAGCAGTAAGGATCAAAATCCGGGTCCGCAGTGTAATCCGCTTGCGGAGTATTGAGGAACATGGATGGGGTGATTGCAATTGGATCATTCCTGTCCATTGGTATGTAGGTTAAGGGCCTAGAGTTGATTACTCTGGCCACAAACATGATTGCGGAACGCACTGTATTCCTGTTGGTGAATGGTATTCCTCCAAATGAACAGGCTAGTCTGCTTTTGATGACGCCCATCATTCTTTCGTAAAATCCTCCCCACCATGGTGCGCAAGCGGCATTAAAATGCCACTTAACGCGCTTGGTGGTAAACTCCTGTTGAATTTCTTCCTGATTTGCTTTGAGAAATCTTGGCCATGCAGCCCAAAAGGTCGCTGCATTGTCAGAGACAATGTTCCGTGGTTTCACGTCCCTCAAATTGCAAAAGGTGTCATATGCTCCCATGAAGGATTCCAATGTTAAGTCTTCTACCTCCTCCATGTGGATTGCTCTTGTTAGGGGCATGAGAACACGCATATTGATATGCGTTTTTCGGTTGGGGTATTGAATGGACCCACAAAGTCAATGCTGACAGTTTTGAAGGCTTGAACGCCTGTGTACCGATAAGTTGGTAGAGGTGCTGTAGTTGTTAAATATGGTAGGTTGTTAAACCGTTTGCACCAATGGCATTGTCGGATAGTGTCTCTGATAAGTTGGCGTCCACCTTGGAGCCAGTATGTTTTTGCGATTTCCTGTTGAGTATAGGCCGTTGATGAATGTTTGTAGTTGATNTTTGCACCAATGGCATTGTCGGATAGTGTCTCTGATAAGTTGGCGTCCTCCTTGGAGCCAGTATGTTTTTGCGATTTCCTGTTGAGTATAGGCCGTTGATGAATGTTTGTAATTGATGTGTTGAGAGTGGATGAACGCCCTTAATAGGGGGTATGCTTGTTTCTTCTTTGGGATTGGCAGATGGATGAGGGTCTTCTTGGCCTGTTCGGGCACAGAGGTGCCTCCTTGAACATCAAAGGCTTGTCGACTAATTGAAACAATCATCCGTTGTATGGAATCCCATTGTAGATCAGGACGATTTGGGATGTTTTTCCCTGACTTCAATATTTTCCACTTCTTGTTGTCATAATATTGTTGCATAATGTGAATGCCTTCTTGATGGGCACATTCCAATTCCTCAGGTTCAAAGGATTTGATGATGGTTTTTTGGTTAGTACCCTTTTTGTGTTTGGATAGTTGTAATTTCTTTGATGGTTCCTTGGCCGTTCGTTGTATTCGAAGAAGGCCTGCGATGATGTAGGTGACCGTTCTCCATGTTCTTGCCGTTTTGAACAAGGAATGTATGGTCTCTTTCCTGTGTATGAATTCAATTTTGGATGCAGATGGCCCCCCTGCAACAGCTGCTGTGACCGTTGTGATTGGTTGTGCAGGCCATTTGCTAGGATGCGGGAGCCATGTTGGGCCATTCCACCATAATGCGGAAGCCCGAAGAGTTTCAATGTCACACCCGCGAGATGCTAAGTCTGCTNGGCTGCAAATGCAGCTGAACCAATGTTGTTGACTGCAGGCGGGCATTGCCAATTCCCGCAATAGTATGGGCTGTAGCTGCTTGTAATGTAGGTAGATGAAGGCGCTGAACAAGAGCTTGCGTCACCAGAGTCAATTGTGACCCTGTGTCCAGTAATGCGTGGACCTCGATGTTCTGTGGTTGTATTTTGATTGTTGCGGTTTCCAGAAGAGAGTATGATACAGAACTTGTTGCAACATTTGCCCGAGCTAGTCATGCAGGGTTGGCTATTGCTGGTGGTGCCGCGTGTGCCGGTGCCGGCAGCGCCGACGCCGGTGGCGGTAATGGTAGGCGATCAGAAATGGCTTGTAGGATAGATTCAAAGTTGCGAGGGTCTCTTTCATTTGGTCGATTATTTGATTGAGGCCCGCCATTGCGCCTGTTACTGTAGTTGTCATTGCAGTTAATTTGGTTGTTGTTGTTTTGATTGTTGTTGTTTTGTCCATTGTTGTTGCGTTGGTCGTTGTTTTGATTTCGGTTGTTGTTGAAGTTGCTTCCATTTTTGTTGTTAGGCCTGAATGAGTTCCGAGAGGATTCGTTGCTCCAAAAACGGTTGCCTTGGTATCCGTTGTTATTTCGGTAGCTATTGCTCCCGCGATAATTGCCATTACCTTGAGACCCATTATTATAGGCCTGTAGGCATAGTGATGAATGATGAGGTAAATTGCACGTATAACATCTTGCCCTGGAGCCACAGTTGGCGATATTGTGGTTAGAGCGGAGGCAGTTAAAGCACAAATTGTTTCTTTTTACTGCGGATATGCGTTCAGGTGTACTGAGTACGCATTTGAAGGCGGGATGTCGTTGTTGACAAAAAGGGCAAGCAAATTTGCCGCCCGAATTGTTTTGATGGTCCGAATAACGATTAGATCCATTTCCTCTATAATTGGATATTCGTTGAGAACGACGAGGTGACCGATCTTCTCGGTCCAATTTTTCCGGTGTTGCAGACCGACTATGATTTCTGCGAGATTTCTTTTCTCGTGTTGAGGAATAGTCATATTTACGTGAGGAAAATTCGGGAATTGCACTCCCATAATACATGGTTGTTTAGGCCTCAATTCCGGCCATTTGGTTTGAAGCTGCTCCGGTGTCTGGAAAATTATGGCATTCAATTCCTCGCATAATTGCAGGATTTGATGCTGCTCGTCATCCTCAAGATGATGGTTTCTGAGCAAGATGAAGTATATGGACGCGGTCATAAACGTTTTGTGTTGTTGCACAAACGTTTGATAAGTATTTGCACTTCGCGGTTGTTTATACGCTTCGTCACACAAGTACGTGGCGTGCACCAGAATCACAACCTGCTGGATGGTGGGGTTGGGATCAAACTGGGTCAACATACTTGATGTCAAGATGCCCGTCATTGATAGAGGTGGTGACGGGTTTGGAGGAGCAGCGACGGGTTGCCGCGGCGGTCTGCCGGTCGTCGTGTGCTCCTTGATGCTTCAGGTGCGGTTGTTTATACGCTTCATCACACAAGTACGTGGCGTGCGCCAGAATCACAACCTGCTGGATGGTGGGGTTGGGATCAAACTGGGTCAACGTACTTGATGTCGAGATGCCCGTCATTGATGGAGGTGGTGACGGGTTTGGAGGAGCAGCGACGGGTTGCCGCGGCGGTCTGCCGGGTCGTCGTGTGCTCCTTGATGCTTCAGGTTGAGTGAAACCTGGCAAATTTGCCGGTTGTACATGGGGTGGAGCATTTGCTCCCCCTGAATGTAATTGTAGCTGTGATGGTGGGGTTGGGATCAAACTGGGTCAACGTACTTGATGTCGAGATGCCCGTCATTGATGGAGGTGGTGACGGGTTTGGAGGAGCAGCGACGGGTTGCCGCGGCGGTCTGCCGGGTCGTCGTGTGCTCCTTGATGCTTCAGGTTGAGTGAAACCTGGCAAATTTGCCGGTTGTACATGGGGTGGAGCATTTGCTCCCCCTGAATGTAATTGGAGCTGACTTGCGTCGATGATTTCACGATTCACAGGTACTGGCGGATCACCGTAGCGAGATGGTGGTTTGCTCATCCGCGTACGCGTGAACAGAACACTGGCGGGTGTCGTGGATTTTCCGCGAGGCATGATGATGCTTTTAGATGTAGAATTTCTTCACTGCACTCACTGATGTTGATTTTTTGACAACTTGGATGAAATTTCACCAAGGATTTTTTCTTCAAAGATTTTTCCAAGACTTTTACACAGTCCCGTACTCTGATCTTGAGATTTTTTATCCCTGGTGTGGTTAGGTTTCCAAGGAATCTTGTTTTTCTTAAAGATAAAAATGATAAAATAATAATTTATTAATACATACTCCTTTTTCAGGAATACTTTTTCCGAGTTACAAGGACGACGCAGCGTTTCGTACGCCACGTCGTACTCTCGTACATTCCGTTGTTGTGCCGACTCGGGCGGCACCTGGTTTTCCCGAGTTAATCGGGGCATGCGCGGGCGACATCTAGTCGACCCGTGACAAGGGACTTGAAAAAAAATCAGACTAGAAAGGTATTCGACTCGGTGAGTTTCGAGTTATCGAGTTCCAACAGTATTACAAAAAAGGTCTGCGTCGACTTATCGAAGATTGTTGCTGATATGTGTGAACATCACACTTTATGAGAACTATCTGTGTATAGAGAAAATGGGGCAACAAATTTCTTCCGGCAGATGTTCAGTATAAGTATTTGCGGTGACGAATATACTGACGTCATCGAGCAATAACTTATTTATGGTTGATTAACCCTAGCGTCGCAGTTCTGGTCCAATTATTGACCCCTATCGCCATATGCAATCAATGCACAGTACATTACAGTACCAGCATATGCACATTTTCGATAAAATATTATGCCTTAGCTCTTATACAGGAGTTGAGGGAGTGTGCTGCGCTGGTGCTCAAATAAATACGACACTCATTCAAAATTTTGCTTCGCGACTACAGTGCTGCTAAAAGAAATTGGGTTTCCTGCTAATGATACGGATCCTCACTACAGTACAGGGTACAGAACAGTATATGTAAAGTTCCTCACCAGCACATGTTATTGTGACCGGCACCGCGGATGAACAAGGGCTCAACGGCGGTGCGGAATCTTTTGCACAATTCAGCACCGTCTTCCATGTAAATTATGTCGTCGTCTGTGCCATGCATGACCAGCACGGGGGCTTTGACTTTTGGAGCCCGTATGTCACTTGGGAACGGGTTCACGTGCTTTTTCACGCAATTCGACTCGTGCATTCTGCAGCAGTTCATTGTCTGAGGACAAGAAAAAGTCCGATTTTTTTTTCGTTCTGAAAATTACATCAAGAGGATATACTGTATATTAGCCAACTGTATCATGGTTGACTTTATCCGGGGAATTCCTAAAATGGATCACAAAGCAGTATTGACTGATGGAGTACCATGCACACTCCTGCCTTGAAATCTATAACATCATCCGAAGAAAACGGGATGTGAGTCATACTGACGTACAGTACATTGTTTTGTAAAAACTGTTCATTATTTGCATGGTTCATGGAATACTCGAATAACGGTAAATATTTCTTGAAATTTTCCAAAATTGTACAAATACAAACATTAAAAAATGGGAAAAATGTAATATTTTACCTTGCCCAATTATTTGATGTTTCCACCTTTTAGTTGAATCCAGAATTTTATTTCGCAAAGTAAATATTCGTGGATGAGAGTATATTGAATTTATGCAAAGATAATTTTTTAACTCAAACTCTCCTCTGTAAAATCACGGTGGATGTGTATAAATTACTCAAGGGTAATAATAAGACATGTGGGATATTTGAGTAAATGCAGTACAGTACTGTACAGTTATGCAGTCTGTGTTTATTTTAATCTATCAGTTTGCTGGCAAATTTACTCAATTTGCCTTGATACTCAAGGCAAATTGAGGACAATCTTCTTCCTGTTCATGCTCGGAGTTCAGAAATATTTTCATCACCTTGAATATATCAAATTCTAAGTACAGTGCTACTGTATGTGTGACTAAGAGTGACATCTATCCTGAAACACCTTTTGCATATTCTGTGTATCCTACACTTGCAGTAATATGCCCATGTAATAGGAATCACTTTCTTCTGATGTTTGACAAAATTGACATTGAGCCATTAATAACCTACATTTTTTGTGTTTGGACTCTGTTGGTGGCTTCAGTTCTGGGGATTCTGATTTCAATACTGCTGCATTGGTATGCTAGTTTTATGAAATGTTATTGTATATGTTCTATCGTTCCCTCTGAATATCATGTGATCCGTCAGCAGCTGGTGTATAAAATACTCTCAACAACGGTCACACCTTCCAACCAGATAAAAGGGGGGCTTCCAAGATGACTCCTGCGACATCTACGCGAGTTGCGAGTTCCACAGCTGCAACTGTTCCAATACTGTGTCCAAAGAGGATGACGCGGTCTGGCGTCAAGTTGAATTTCGACAGCAAGAACTGATAGGTGGCGTAGTGGTCGGCGTACATGCCCTGCTCACTCGGAGAGCCAGTACTTTCGCCGAAACCCGAGTAGTCGTACGTGATCAGGTTGCAGCGGGTTACCTGTTAATTGGGTTTGCATGCTTCATTGTATTGAGTGGATAAGGCATGATGAAAATTATTTATGTGACAATTTTAACGATCAGGTACAGTACCTTATAGTTCTTGAACCCGAGAGTACATACATGTCACCTGCTTACATATTTGTTCTGCTCGTGTAATCTTGAAGACCGGCTTTTGTTATTCAACTTTCAGAAATGTGAACACCAAAATGAATTCATAAATATAGCAAGTAATTCAAATGAGAGAGAAAACATTTTTGAATAAGAAAAATTAAAATTAAAACTTTTATTTGAGTTATTTGCACATATTGAGAAGTCAAAGGCTAAAATTTTCATAGTACATGCAAGCTTCTTCCACAATATAAATCTCCTGATACAATAAAAAATAAAATGTATTAAAAATATTCCTGATGCAGTAAAATATCACTTTTGCAACAAATAACCACAACACAATTTTCAGCATAGGAAACTTTTCCTCAAGTCTTGGAGAAACGCCTGCAGAGAACATGTTGAAATTATCTCATGAGTCATGATGAATAACTTCCTGAGTGGGGAGCTATTTTTTGCTGTGACCCCACAGTAGGTGCACACCAGGGTCACAACTGTTGCATATGGGATATTCCGGGGTTACAAGTGTGCACTCCTGTAGATAAAATTTTGTTACCATTCCAGGGTTACACTTGGTGCACAAATGTGAAATAACAGGAGCATCTTATTTGTTTACAAATGTGACCCTGAGTAATCCTGGTGTGTACACAAAATTGGTGCACATTGCAGATATGCAGGTGCAACAAAAGAACTTTGGTACACCAGGTGCACAGCAGGTTCACTGTGTAGAATCACAAATGAATCCCTGGTGTGCACCAATTTCCCCACTTGGCTTGCTAATTGAAATATAACAAACTTTTTCAAGGGAGATAGATGCAATTTTCTTTCTTGAAATTACCTGACAAAGGAAAGTAAACTCTCAAATGTATCTTTCCAAGCATGTTTGTGACTTACTGGTTCTTGGAACATGACTGCTGGAAGGTGGACTCAAGGAAAAAAAAATTCACTGATGCTTATGGACAACTGATTTTGTCTAGCCCAAATCACACATGATGGAATGCCATTTCAGCTATGTCACTCAATTACTTTTGAACTACCCTTCTGCTTTGACAGCATATCCTGTAATAAATTGTGTTTAATGTCAACAGCTTTTCCTCAAGTTCCCAAAGTTTATTGCTGTAACAGAATTTTACAGTTTAACACTGACTGTGCAAAGTACACTGAGGAAGTGCAGTGTGTGACCAAAGTCGCAAGAGTTGCCATGGGAATACAAAATGGTGAATGGAGCATCCTCAGACTGAGTTATGTGAGCAACAGCCACAGCATTCTTGGATTCAGATCCCAATATTTTGAAACCTTGGACCTTTTGCTTGGCATAGTTGGGCAATTGAACGTCACTCCGCAAATCCCCTTGAGTTTGATGCACTTCTTGACCATTGATGACCAACATGGTGGCATACTTGACTTGTAATGAGAACAGGATATCCAGGATTGGTTGGTGTCCATCAGCTTCTCCCTGAGACCTCAAATACAACTCGTATCAATGATGTTGGCTATGAGCAACAATTAATTATACACAGTTTCCCAGCAGGAGAAGATGTACATATACTATCGAATAAATTCTTGAAAGATGCATTATTCTCCTGTATACACTGTACCATGATGTTTTCTGCAAATTTCCATTAACATATGCCTACATAAAAGGCATATCATGGCAGGCTGCACTGTTCTAACCATTATACTCTGAAGTTTTTCACACTTTCTTCATGGTATATCACATCTTTAAGAAAACATTTACTGCACATTTCCAATGTATAGACTATAGATTGAAAATCGACCTGATGATTAGAAAAAAAGTTGAGTCAGGACTTGGGACTTGAAGTTCGGTGGTGCAGAAAATCTTGTATTGAACATTCCCTCACTCCTTGAAGAACTTTCATTAAAAACATGTTGTGCAGATTATCATGGACATCAGTGAAAGTTAGGAACTCATGCAAAAATTATATCATGGCTATATCAAGTCTGCAGAAACTGAATAAAATACAATAAAGTCTTTCAAAGTGAAATTCACAGAGACTCTAGAATATTTTGCTTGAAGAGCTTTTAAGTTGGAGAATACATCCTGATTTCCATCATAGGTTAAAAAGTAAACTTTTTGAAAGTATGTAAACTTGTTATTTGGGCTCTTCTTAAAATTGTGTATCATTCAGAAAAGTCCAAGATATGCATGTACTGCAATAAGAGTTCAATACCCTTGTGAAAAGCACTAAAATAATAAGTTGCACCTCCCAAGTGGGGAAATTGGTGCACGCTGTGGATTTGCTTGTAATTCTACACAGTGACCCTGCTGTGCACCTGACCTGTACCAAAGTTCTTCTGTTGCACATGTATATCCCCAATGTGCACCAATTGTGTGTTCACACCGGGATTACTCAGGGTCATATTTGTAAGCAAATAAGTTACACCAAGGTTACAGTTGGTGCATTTGTGTGATGCTCCTGTTATTTCACATCTGTGCACCAAGTGTAACCCTGGAATGGTAGCAAAATTTCCTCCACAGAAGTGCACACTTGTAACCCCAGAAGATCCCATATGCACCAGTAGTCACCCTGGTGTGCACCTACTGTGGGGTCACAGCAAAAATAGCTCCCCACAGGGGCTATTTTCTTTGCTCCCTGATGGAATGATGATCAATTTTGCCCCTGTTTAATAACATATTCTCTGTATTACTCTATTGAAAAAAAGACTCTTGAAAGGGTTACACTAGTAGATCCCAAATGTTTGAGAGTTAGGGAAATATAAAATGTGTTCTTCTTGAAGTACAGTCAACCCCTGCAGAACAAACTTAACTTGTCCAACAGACTAATCTGCTGTGTGAAAAGTCTGCTATGCAAATCCAATTATTAAAAATTACTATTCTTACTTTTTACCATTAATATTGAACCAACAGAAGTCTGTTGGGTGGATTTAGTCCATTGCACAGGAGGGAAAACCACCTCCAGAGGTAGTCCATTGTGCAAAAATCCATTGCACTGGAGGTCCATTGTGTGGGGGTCAACTTTTTTTTATCAATGGTTCATAAAGAATTTCAGGTAGGCTGGCATACTTAACTTGAAGAGCTTTTACTTGCAGATGTTTTTGACTGCTGAGGGAAGTTTGACTTAACAATAAGGTCCAACTGTAAGACTAACATCTATTTTTCTGAAATATTGTCAAATTTTTTGATATTTTAGATCAAATTGCTGTGGAAATTGCCCTTAATTATGCCTCAAACTGGAAAAAAAGTTATTGCTAGGTCTCAGTGAAATATGATTCAATTTTGGACAAACATGAAAGAATGGATAATGTTCTAGAGGGCAGATACCTTCTTGACAAACTTGTATGCTGCTTTAGGAGGAGCAAAAGCCAGTTTATTGGTGATGGCTTGAGGTCTCGGTGGCAAACAGAAGACCCAAAAGAACAGTCTGCAAAATTTCACCAGCTTGGATCCGAATGATCCGCAGTTTTCATCTTGCAAAGAACACCTAAAAATCGCATTCTCCAGATACTGAGGGTCATCGCAAACAATTTCGTAAGGCTCTTCGTGGTCAGCTTCCATTTTCCGAGACACTTTATTCATGATTAACGTCCGGGGGTAAATTTCATCATTTGAGCACTCAAGTATTCCCTTCCATTTCCCCAAGTTTCAATGGGTATACAATACATGAAGAGACATGCAAGATTTTTTCCGAATAGAAAGAGCCAGGTTTCTTTTTTCTCTATTTCAGGGATTTCCAGAACATTGAAGACATCAAGTCAAAGAAGCCCATTGAAGGGCATTCGATTCCATTCGACATCCAACCACTGAATGAACCCGTTCCTTGACATTGGTAACACACAACAAGCACAAAAAAAAAATCTCTGAAGATGACTATTGCTACATATATGGAACACTGAAAGAAGGGGAGACACTTTCTGAAATGGCAAAGGATTTGTCTAAAGCTCAGACAACAAACAAATAGTAAATCCAGTAGGAAAAATTGAAGATTGTGAAAAGAAGAGGGAAGATGAGTCTGCAAGATTCATCAATTTGATGGGCCCTCATGCTCAACTTGGTCTGTGGCTGGAATGCTCTGCTGGGCACATTCTGCAAGTTCATTCCCATGGCTAGAAATCCATTGTTGTCACTGAACTCCCTGGACTGAAAAGAGGAACATTCAAAATATGGATAGCAACCTGCACTGCTTGCCAATACACAGGTGGACCATAATTTTAACAATCCTGAAGTAGAAGCTCTTCATAAAATTATGTATTTGAGAAAGTACAGGTGAACCTTGATAAGTCAAACCTCCCTATAAGTCAAATTCCTCCCTAAGTAAAAATTTTTTTCAAGTCCCTGTTTGAATTCCCTTAGAAGCAATACATTAACCCTTGGATGGCAAAGGGTTCTTTCCCATTGCCGGCCAAAATTGGATTATTTTTGTATGCTAAGGCGTTTTAATTTTTCTGAAGGTCAGAAAAGACCTTCCAGGTGGGCTGAGGCAAAGTTGGGATTAATCCGAGAAAAGCCCATTAGCATAGCATTTTTTTCATTTTCCCACACAATTTTTCTGTGCAAAAAGAAAAAAACATTGGATTTTCCCTGACTTTGTCCTCAAATCTCTGTTGTCCTTTTCTTATTTTCTGCCCTGAGGTGCAACAAAATTTTGCAAAAATAGTCCAACTTTGCCGCCCAAGGGTTAAAAACCCCCCTAACTCAATTTTTTTTCTGTAAAACCTCTGTAAATCGAATTTTATTTGAATCTCTTTAAAATATGAAAGATAAAATGATTTTTTTAATTGATGCATCTTGAGAGGGATTGAAAGACAAAAATAGCAAATGAACCCCTGCCTCCAATTTCAGGAAGGTGTAAACTCATTAAGGAGCTAGTTTTGGCCCAGAATATTCTCATTCATGATTTCCCACACTTTTTTCACTTCTCCTCACAACAAAAGTGTTTTTTTTTTCTCAACTGGAAACCTCCAAAAATCAAAACCTCCCTAAGTCAATTTTTTTTCCTGATGGTCCCTAGAAATTCAACTTATATAGAGGTTCAACTGTAGTACATTTATGCCCTGGAGTATGACTGTATCTCTGATTTTTTCAGAGGAAATTTGTGAAAAGATCTATATCTCTGTGTGAGACAGACACACACTCCCTCCCTATAGAGTTGTGAATAAATATGAATTCATTTAAAAAACTTCAGGAATTAAAAATGAGGATTATTTCCTATATGAAAGCTCAGTGAAAATTCATTTTGAGCTTGTTTTATATTCAGATGAATTAAATGCAGCTTCCGTTTGCACCTAAAATTATACTTTTTATATTGTACTTTGGTTTCTTGAGTTGAAAGTGCTGCTTTTCCTTGATAATTTTTGTCTAATCATCAGAGTATGACGCAAACATGGAATCTCAACTCTTGTTTAAATTCATGTACCTGCTTAACATGCCATCCCAAACTTTCCAATTGATTTTTTAAAGAAAAAAGGTGCACTCAAGAAAATAATAATAACATCTTTAAAATTTCCTGAATATATAACTTTGGGAAATATCTATACATTTTGTACATTTTGTTTACAAATCAAGTTCCTGCTTTTTGGGATGTCACCTTTATTGCAAAATTGGAATACTGTATTTTCTGAATGTAACTAGCATGTGAGGTGCTGCTCAGATTTTACTATGAGATTCTCTTTTTACTTATTCTATAGACATTTTTGTGAAAAATCCTTGCTGATCATTATGTTGGATATTCTTTGTGTGAGGCATCAGTGGGATTTCCTGGATAAAAATGCTATATGAATAGTCCACCTGGAGCCACCTCTGCTAAACTTGTTCAATTACCAGGTTAGTCATTTCCAATGGTTCCCTGGATTCAGAAGCAGGACCCTTGTGCCTGGTGGAAGCTCTCTCAGCTCTTTAGAAAGATTTGCTATGCCAACAAATTCTTCTGATGGCTCAGCTAATAAAGGCCTCTACTGGCTAATTTGAATTCCTGCTGATGAATTTGATGTTCATAGGGTTGAAATCATGGATCTATATTGGAATCAATTATAGCGACAGTCACTTGAAATTTTCATGAATAAAATATTGAGATGGATCAAATTTTCATCTTACAAAGATTATACTGGGATAAAATTTTTGCTATTGGCCATAAGGCATCCCATTCCTGAATAAATTGAAATAACTTTGTGGCATTTTTCTGTGCACCTAAAAGAAGTAATCAATTTGAATATAAACAATTTTGTTGCGATTTTCATACTGTTAATAAATTTCCACAGAGAATGCAGTACATTGAAAACCTTATTAGTCTGTTCAATAAAATATGAGGATGGTGCATATTCTAGATCTCATCACCTGAGGCCTTTGTAGACATGGTAAGCAGGGTAGTGACACCTAAAGTAGTTCTCCCAGGTACAGAATCCACGTCCATCCAAAAGGAAACCCAGGAGATCATTACAATCAGCATGGTAGGCAAATAACTCTGTACCAGGTGGAATCCAACCGCTCTCTTCAAGTGGTACTCGGCCTTGATGCAGCTGTAATTTCCTGTAAGCATCACGTGTTCCATTGAACTTGGTCAAAGGCGCCTTTACCCTACTCGTACTCATTAGGTTGCGTAGAGTATGCGTATGCTCCCCGTATGTATTGTGTAAAAGAGCCTTACCTCTAACTTTGCACGTATGTTTACTTGAACCTTTGACTTATTATTCGGAAAGTCTTTTTTGGCAAAAGAAAAAAAAAATTGGCCCCTTTTTACATATTTTACAAAAAAAAGTTTATTAAAAGTCGCCCTTCACTAGCTCAAAAGAGTCATCATTTTAAGCAAAGAGGAAGCTGTTTTCTCAACTGTCGTTCATCCGTCGCGATATACCCAGTTAAAATTGTGATTAAAGCTAAATGGAATTCCCAAGAGATTGTTCAGTGAATGAATACCCTGATGGACTTTTTCAGTCAAGTAACATCATAATTTGAAAAAATGCATACAAGCTTCTTTCTGATGAGCCACCAACCAGTCTGCAGTTCAAGCCATAAAAAAAATCAAGTTATCATTTTCTTCCATGTATAGCAACTTGAAGAGAAGAACCAAGCCAATTATTATTTTTTATTGAATTCTGATCATGTTTTGAATCACTTTAACCAAGAAAAATGTATCAACTGCTGCAGTTTTTCTGCACTGATTGTGATTACTGTATATCAGTTTTATGAGAATGGGATATAAATCAGCATAAGAAGGATTTAAAATTACTTAAATTCAATGAAGAGACACTTTCTGAAATCTTAAAGGATCAAGATATATTTTTGGCCTTATATGATTTCTCATCAAATATTCTCTCTAAATTGTTCATTCAATGAAAACTCATACAGAAACAGGCTGAAGACCTTGTGCTTTAAATAAACTTTCACTGCTGCTTTGTCTTCAATATTGGGGGATGGGTGGGTGTATGTGGCATACCTGTAGGATGTCTAGTTTTATTTTGTGAAGTGTGTTCTCTTTTGTTTTTTTTGTCATTGGTTTGTGCTTTGTTTCATGCTTTGAAGTGATTGAATGTCTTTGAGGTTTTTCAGCTTTCATGGCTGATTTAGCATAGAGGTGCAGCAGTTCATGTACATTACCCCAGCTGGGCCTAAGGAAAATGAGAAATGTTGAGCACATGATCAGTTGACTAAATAAAAACATGGAGGCAAATAAAGTGTTCTGTTCATTCATTCATTCAGTTTTACCTCAATCACTATCACTATACTACAATACTACAATGTATTGCAATGCCTAACAATTTGTATCACCCAATCAAAATTGTGCAATGCTTGCAATTTGTGATTGGGCTGAGTTGCGGCTCAATCATATCAGCCCCCTGATCATATTTCATTTCAATTTCAATCCCGAGAACTTCTGTTAGACCCCTCGTGCGTATGTTTGCAACAAAACAGAAGTTTCAGTGTGTGTGTGTGTGTGTCAGTGGATAAACTTTCGAAAGAACTGTGACTGACCCACAGTGCACGAGGTGAAGTTTAACACCGTAGGCGTCCGGGCTCATTTCGAAGTGGCCCAAGAGGAGAAAGGTGGTTAAGTGCAGCTCTTTCATTGTTTTCGAAACTGTCGGGGAATTGAATCGACATGAGGGATTTGATAAGTTGCAAACACGCAAACGCTGTGATCGACAAACAATATGCGCCGGAATCTCAATAATGTGAGTGATGCATCATCCATATGTATTGATGCATAAATATACTGTGTATTGCACTTAGTCGAGCGCTAAAGGTACCTCGTGAGAACGAACAGGTTGCCCATGAACCTGTTAAGGTAGTACGTCCTTTTCCACTCAAAGTCAGACTGCACCTTCTCTTATATTTTTCTCTTGTTTATAAAATGATCTGTATCACCTCCGCAATATGTGACTTAAACTACATTTTTTCCACGTTGATTATGGAACAAATTACCACCTCTGCTTTAGATATACAGAGTGAGACCCTCATACAAGTGGACGCCTTGACATGAGGACAATTCGAAATAGGGACATTTTTTTCAATAAAAAGGGCATAAAAAAGGCCCAACATACATCAGACACTGACTGAATATGAGGGCATTGCTTGAAAAAATTACCAATACATTTCACAAAAATTGACTTTTATTTGGCTTGATTGCAAGAAACAGATATTTCCAGCCTTAAGATTTATACAAGAAAAATTCTTTTGTCATTTCTCCCATCATTTTCCCATCCATCCAGCTAATCAAAAAAATAAAATACTGCATAGAGAGACTTCCTTTTCTCTTTTTGTGACTTGAATGTTATTTTTGTAGATGCCAATAACATGTTAATGTACAGTACAGATATAGACTATTGAATGCTCCGAATGTTCTTATTGATCTGAAAATATATTCACTGAATCAAATTCAAGTGGCAAACAATTTTTTTCATGGAATTCTGAAGACAATTTCTTCCATAAAAAACCAATTAAAAATTAGTGTATGTGATTTAAGTCTATGGGAAAACAATAATTGACTTGGAGAAAATTCAACTTAGGGACACTCTTGATGCACCAATGATGTCCGCATCTGGGGGTCTCACTGTATGTGGATAAAAATGCCCTTTTTACCTTGATCAGTCACTTTTTCCTCCACAAAAATTACGTGCAATTTAACCTCTTACAATAGTGTAAAAGTGTCTTCTTCTTAGTCAGAAACGACCCGCAGTACTATTTTTACTGCCAAACTGTTTTCCATTAAGTCTATATATGGATGTTGTACTTCGGAAACCATGAATGAAAATTTTTGTCCTCAAACTTCTCACAGATCACATCGCATCGAAGCAATAATGATGGTATAAATTAAGAAATGATTGGCTTCATCACCTGAGCATGTAAAGAATCCGGCCACTGGGATTGATGCGGATGAGGACATTTGGCACTGTGACGTACTGGAAATCTGCCTGTTTGGCATTCGGGAAATAAACCTCTGGTTTCCAAATGGCCTTCACCAGTGCTGGGTCACTCAGGTCCATGGGCTCTTTGATTTCTGTATGGTTCAGTCGAGCATCCGTCCACTCTTGCCTCAAGTAAGCATCCACTTCGTAATCCTGACATTCAATAATGCAATACTGTATAACAACAGCTCTTTTCAAATTTTAAATAAAAACTGGAAAGATCAGCAGCAGGTCTGAATTTTCGGTATTTTTCATGATATGATGTGTATAATTGTTTTTGGACGGATGACGTCTATTAATTGTCTCATCTTTCAGACAAAGATTTGTTGTAAATTGAATTTCACGCGTAAGCAGAAAAGCAAGAATTTATAAATATTTCTGACGTTTTCATTTCAAATGAATTTAAAATTTATATCATTCAACAAAAAAATGGACGAAATCATTCAAGTCAATCAAGTCCCATGCGTTGAAAACTGTACTTGGGCCAAATTCATCGTCCTAATCCTAATCCAATTTATCATTTTCCTAATCCAATTTATAGTTGAGGAACCTTCAATAAGTCCTCAACACCATTATATTAGTAACTTCTTTTCTCATTATCAGGTTCAGCATCATTGTATCAGTAATTCAGTACTGTATAGACATGGGAACAATAACATTATTGACAAATATAGCACACAAATTATTCAAAACTATCAAAAGCAATGACTTTAAATATTTGCAGTAGCCTTTATCATTTTTATTCATTTTTTTTTGCATCCCGAACATTATTTTTGTGCACATAGTCTGATTTGTTTTGAGCAACTGTCAAAATGATGACATTTTTAAAGCTGTTTCTGAAGTTTTTAAGAGGAACTGCTTGAATTGGGTGCTCAGTAATTGCCTTGTGCAATCACAGTATTGTATAATTATTTCCGTGTGCAATTGATGCGGATGAGGACATTTGGCACTGTGACATACTGGAAATCTCAGTAATTGTTTTGTGCAATTACTGGAATGTGTGATGTGGGAAAGTTATGGTAACCTTGTGAATAATGCTGACAATAGTGGAAAATTAAGTTCAATTGTATATCAATCTATTGTACTGATTAAAAATATTTTTCTATATCTACGCTTTTAATTTTCACAATTTTCTCTTTCTGCCAATTCTTGAAATGTGTACCCAGTTTTGGAAATCGCACTGGAAGTGGACAGCATAATTTGTGCATTATCACCCAACTTTGTGCAGAAAACGAGTGATTCTTCTGAACAAACTTATTGTCTCTATAAATTCAAGGTTGAAGTTAAATCTCACAATCGCAGGCTAATTTTAAATTCAAATAATGTGCCTTCCTAAGTTCCTATACTGAGGCAGGGATTTATATTCAAGTGGCAACTATAATGCGAATACTGTAAAGGAATTGGACAGAAAACATTTTTCTCATTCTCGAAATTCGCGGGAAATGGTTTCCAGTTTTGCAAGTCGTCCAGTCCGAGTTTAATGTCACATTTGCATGAATGATCATCTCCTTTGCATAATAAACAGATCGAATCATTAATTCCTGGGAATTGGGATGTACTGTATATACGCAGTTCAGAGATGTACTGCTGTACATGCTGCTGCTGTATATCATTTTTGGAGTACTTGGGTTTGATTTGATATGTCTTCATTCAAGTCCTGCATGAATGGCTTCCATCATTTGCCTCAGTCTCGGCTTTTGTATATGCTGATGTTCTCGATAAGCTGATTAAACGGGAAGTTAATCAAGTTTAATTTCTGAATGCGTGAATTGCTGCAATAAGTGAGAATCACGTTTCCAGAATGTGTTTACAGTACATTTTACTCGTGAATTTTATTTCTGAGCATGCATTACAGTACAGTTGAACCTCCCTCACTCAAATTAAATTCAAGTCCCTGTCTGGATTTCCTTATAGAAACAAAGCATTAAAAACCTCCCTATAACTCAGTGTATTTTTCTCTCAAACCTCTGCTGTAAGTTCAAATTTGCTGAGGCCTTTTGGTTATTATTTCCTTGAAATTTGAAAGAGAAAGTCAATTGAACAAATGATTTTATGCCTCTCAAAATGAAGGGAAAGACTAATAATTGAACAAATGAACCCCTGCCTCCAAGTTTGCAAGCTGTAAATTACTCATTATAAGAAGCAAGTTTAGGCCCAAAATATCCTCATGTACAAATTTCCATAAGTTTTTTTAAATTTTTTTCTCACAGCAGAAATTGTCAGAGGCTAATAAGCCTCAGTGACAAAGATTAATGTTTCAGTTCAGTTGAATCGAATTATGAAATGATGTAGTCTCAATCGGTCGTTTGCGGCCTGAGGTAAATACCTCAACTCCTTGAGTATGTTCTTCCAAATTTCCAACAACAAATTTCCAAGATGATTTTCAG